TTACAATTATGTTACGTGCTGTTCCAGTGCATGATTGTCACAGATCCAGTTTAAGGAGTAAGCCATCACTGCACTGGTGTAGGGTGCCGAAGTTTATGGGGTGCAAAAAAATTGAAGAGTAGCGGAGAAAGATAGAAATGTTGCTTTCAGTAAACAAGAAATTAGAGTGCAGAATGTGAGAGAGGCATGGGAGGAGTGAGTTGTTGCCACACTGAGTGAAATAAACCATAAAATTATTCATACCAAAATATTTGTTAACAAAAACCATACAGTATATAAAAAATGGGATGGGAGTAGGTGCATAAGCAAAATTAGATCAGGGTTCTACAACTCAGAATTGTCAGAAAATTGTTCTAACATTGTGCTGATCATTAACTCTTTCTGTGTCTGGACACTGGCCTTGAAACCAGTGTCGGTGCCATAGTACTACGCCATGAGCTCAGCTCACTCAGATAAGCTGTAAATTTGGGCCTAGATAAGAGAGAATGGGTCTATGCGGTAAGTGTACACCATATAAAAAAAACAGTGCATAATGAGGAAAAACAGCAATTTTACATTGTATTTTTGTATGGTTTTTGTCATTGTATTCACAGTTTCTTGGTCTAATTTGATAGATTGGAAGATATGTTACAGAAATAGAGATGATTTTGACTGGTTTGAGGACTGAAAATAGCTTGAAATTAAGTTCAAAGTAGCAGAAATATTCAATTTTTGCCGATATTCCAGAGTAAACAAATTACGTCACTCATCCAACATGCGTCGTCCAACTCGTCGGTCTAATTTGAGTTCACGAATATACTGACATTATTTATGTAATTATTACAGTAATGCATAACAATAAATCTATTTTTTCTGTGTGAATAAAAATTCAAAATGGAATTCATGTGTAAAGCCTGGGCTGGGAACATAACTAATGAATAGAGGAAATGTTATTTTAGTGCCACGAATGCATGCAATGTTTATTCTGGACCCTATTTTGAAATTTGGGTCCATCATTGGTAATTTGGGCCAAATTTCCAGTTTCTGATCACTTATTAGGTAGATTGAGGAGTTTCTTGTGTTCAGTCGATAAAATGGAAAGATACAATTGGAAGAATATAATTGGCCTAAAATAGGGCTCAAAGTGGGCAAAATCACCGATACGTAAATATCGCTGATACACCAAAATTCGCAGAAGCGTAATTTCATCAGTTTTCCATAAAATTTCATACTTTTTGTTTTATTACCGTCAAAAAACGATTCTCTACCATTTCATATGAAAAATAACAAAAAATTTCTTGAAAATTCTTGGACACTTTCCAGATTGGGGTCTGAACACTAGTTTAACCCCTAACTGTAGCATACCTACAAATAAAATTTCTTGTATGATTGAAAAAATTTTAAAAATAAAAAAATTTAAGTTTGAAGGAGTCCATTTTTCAAAGTAGAATAAAACAAAATGGAATAAAATTGGATGAAAACTTAGGAATTTTTGGGGTGTTGAAGTTACCAAAATTATCTCCCAGTGGCATAAATGTGGCAACGATATTTACGATTTACTGCCCCCGAATTTTTGTTGCTGTCAGTTTTTTACTGTAGTGTTTTATGATATTGGATATATTACAAGGTTTTTTATGACAGTAGACATTCATGATTGGTGTGGGTTACATTCCTGAAAAATTCATTACCAACAGTTTCTGCCTTGGCGAAGCCACTTGTTGACCTGCTTAAAACCTTTCTTTCTTCTTAACAGTAGTGATATAGAATAACAAAGTTGATGAATTAGACACATGCAACATCCGGATATCTTTATTTTGAAGAGAGTTTGCTAACCAGTGCTTTTTTCAGTTTACAAGAGCTTAGCAAGTGGAGGTAGTGTGAGCATTTATGGCCCTCAAAACCATTAGCACTTATAACAACATGCACTATATTCATTGCACACACTGTCTTGAAATAGGGTCAAAAGTGACAAGGAAGAGATTTAGCCTGCCTTTCATTACTTCCTCCTTGTCTTTGTTGCTATATAAGTGTTTAGATGTGGTTGAAGTGGCCCTTATCAACCAAAATGACCACCTGTAGCCTTCAACTTCGCTATATCAAAAACTACACAATTTTCTCTTAGTAACTTTCCACAATTTATTATCAATCACCAATATATGTAGCTAGCATAGATAAATAACTGCTTAACTCTTTTATTGCTGTGTATGTAAAACTATTTTATTGATGCTAGTGTTGCTCACACAGATCTACCTTTTAAAGCACAGTGCCCTCAGATATTTTGTGAGCAATAAATTTTAGCCTAGAAATGAGAGAATGAGTCTGAGCAGTGAGTGGGTATATATATAAAAAAAATCTTGACCTATGCATTACATGATGGGAAAAGCAAACCACCGACTTCCTGTTTGGTTTAAAATAGCAATTTTGAGTTGTTTTCTAGTTTCTGGATATCTGGAAGATATACTGGTGAAATACAGATGATTTTGGCTGGTTTCAGGACCAGAAGTATCTTGAAATAAGGCTC